CTTTACATCTTATAACTCTTTCTTAACGTACGTACGTATTTACTAAACTATAATGCCCTCAGCGTTTATGGACAAATACTCGTTCGCCTGTACTTTCCCCGCAGATAACAAGCAGGTGGTCGACCATTACGCCGGTGCACGGAAGAATTTCCAAGCAGGTTCCTGGAAAGAGCCGCGACGTTTCGCCATAGACGCTTCGGGGCGCCGGCTGATCATCGGGCACAGTGGAGAGCCTAGAATTCCGAGAGCGAGCAACTTGATCTGTGGGGAACGTTCGCAATGTAATGGCAGGCGCCTCCCGCGACATCTAGGTCACAGATGCGCACAAGTTGCGCATTCGCGGAACGAGGAGGAAAACGGGCGGAAAGGCAGAGACACTTGTAGACGACCAACGCATTTTGCTCCTCCTGGTGGCGTGTATCGCAAATTGGGACAATGAACCACGTGACCTCGATCGTGCAGTCGGAAACACTCTGTAATGTAGGCGCACTAGGGCGCAGTCTTGCCACGGGCCGTTGGAGGGGTGGGGAGCGAAACGAGAGGGTGGTCTAGGGGAGAGTGGAAATGAACGAGAGCATTAGCCAACACTGCAAAATGGGTGAGTGAAATAGTTAAAAAGGAAAGAGGAAACGATTTTTTTTTATTTATTTATTCATTTTTCTTCCAAAATACCATTACCTTTCCCAAGGCTCGAGCAGGTGTGGTGCACAAACATATTTTCAACTTTGAATGCAAACGTGAGGTCAGAGGGGTACCATTTCATATACAACGCATCCTTCAACTGGTCAGCGTTAAAAGGAACGCTTATAAACGCACTCGCGCGCACTTGAGGTAATGAAACAAATGAGCGAACTAATTAAGGTTGAACGTAACACGTAGCATAATAGTCAAAACACATGCTCCGCTTCCCATTCAGTCGAAGCGCAAGCAAGGCCACTATCCGATGTAATCTATCAGGCGGCGCTAGAAGAGACTCATCAATACGGTCGTCGCGTTTGTTTCCCCGGCTAAACTGTGAAACAGATTCTAAGCCAACCTCTCGCTCGCTAGCCGAGTAATTATACTCAGATGCCAATAGGGTCGGGAAAAACAAAGTATAAAAAACAGTCGAGTGAACGGAGATAACATACATTAAATCACAAATAAAATGAAAAGAGTATGGTTCGATATCTGCTAACACAGCTTGGATATTTGCAAACGCTAGAATATCCGGTGATGATACAAAAGATATCGGACTGTCAAGAGCCTCGATAACATTTTTTTTTTCTTTATGGTGTGCGTTTGTGTTTGCTGCGGTACTGAAAGCGTCCCTAAGCCATGCGTATACTTCCTCACAGAGCACTCGGAGAGTCAATCAGTGCGATCAACACATTTTGCACTTTTAGGGGTGTGCTGAGGGCATCAGAATCGTCACTGCTGGACACCGGATCCGGTCAACGTAAAAACAATTGCTCTCGGGTGTAGAAGGACAGTCATAGGAGCGTCATGCCTATTCATTTAAATTAAATTTGTATATGAGGCAACAAAACACGTACATGCAACGGAACGAACCTCTCTTTTGCCAGACATTACTTTGATTTCATAAAATAAAAAAAAAATCGTGGAGGTGGAACAACGATTTTTTTCAATTGCGCGTGGGCGCAATTTTGAGGGCCACATGAATGAAGAATACAATATTTTAAACGTAAATATTTTATGTATAAAGAACGCCAATCGCTCTATTCGGATTTTTTAAATTTATTTTATTTAGGTTTTTAATTAAAGTAAGATAGAATGACAAACGTGACCTCTTGGCTACTCTTTCATATTTCGCCATTTTCGGCGATTTTTTAGTACATCTAAATTTTTAGTTATACGATCTGCTCTGCGATACCTTCCCAGGGAAGTATACTTTAATGTGGGTAGTCTGCTGTCAAATATGGTTCGATTCATTTATCTAGACATCACCACTCTCCGTTTCCCATTACATTGGACTGTAGCGGACGTTTTCGAGCCACCTCGGCCAGTTCAACGTATCAAGTGACAACACGTCACTGCTCTCCTCCCTAAAGTCACGAGACACTCACATGGCATTGGATGAACTTGTATGACTCGTAGCGCCTTCTGTGCTCATCCTAAGGTAAAGGGACCGGAACGGGTGACGTTAGGAAATCTTATGCCCCGACCGATGGCGGGCGTGGCGAGGGCGGGGCAACAGCAGCTTGTGTATAAAAAAAGAAGAAAAAGGGACGAAGAAGTGGAAAGCTCGCCATTGGACCAGCATTGTGACGCCAGTTGTTCCTACACTGTGCACTAAGGAAGGCTGAAATTAACCACACAATACGGAGTTGGATGATTTCAGATAAGATTGAACAGTGGGTAAATGATTGAAATTTTTTATTCAATTTATATTTTACCTGTCATCGCACAATCTATAGTATGAACGAACAAAACTCCATATGGTTCATTAAAAAAAGAAAGAAAGAAAAATGTGTTGGGCCTAAAAAGTAACCAACTTAATTGAAGAGCATCAGAAAATTTTAGAATAGAAAACCCAAAAACTTTGCGTAATGTAAAAATATTATCGTCACCAGCGCGCACGAGCCGAGCCCGAACCGCGTTTTGGATTGGCGCACGCCAACGACGCTATTTCTTTGCACACGCAAACATTTGGATACGCTACTGTAAAATTTGCGATTATGAGAAGTTAATTATTGTCCGAAACAATTCTCGTGGGTACATATCAGACTTCCGAGGTATTTGTCGTTCATTATGTTACTTATATTTTATCAAAAGTTTGGCACTTTGAGCGATTGTTGGCGAACTTTTAGATATTTGCACACAAATCTGTGATCAATATAAAAACAACCAAATTGCGTGACAATTATTTTTTTCCCTAATTTTTTTGTTATTATTGTTATTTTTAAATGATCCTTTATTTCTATGCTGCATATATGGTAAAGGAAACCACTCCGGAGCCCCCTTTTTTTAATCCACATAGAAGCTTCCTCCGTGGTTACTGCGATGTAAACATTACCCGATGTGCAGTGACGTTACAAATACCAGAGGCATCCCTTCCGCGGCGTCGCAGCGCTGGTCCAATCACGATATCCAAATTTTTGTTCCCTTCTTTGTCCCTTTTTTTTTTCTAGACACAGTTTGTGTTTGTTTGTTTTTTCTCGCCACTTTTGCTATCGGATCGGGCATGAGATTCCGTAACGTCGCCTGTTCAAATGCTCCGTTTTACCTTGCCATGATCGACGGAGGACGCTACGAGTCATACAAGTTAATAAAAATAATAATAATTTGTTTATTAAATGTGCCCAAAAACAACCACGCGGGTTAATCCAGTGTCGTGTGGCTTTCACGTAGCCTTCGAGAGGGGCGCAGTAGCAGGTTTTCACTTGATACGTTGAATTGGCCCAGACTCGTAACGCCCGCTACAGTCCATCGAAACTGGAAACGGAGTATAACATGTCTAGAGAAACGAGTTGAACCATTCTGTCTGCTGACTACCCATAGTAAAGTACTACCTGGGAAATGTATAGTGCATTGCAGCGCAATCAACCAAGTGCAACACCCTAAGGACTGAACGCGCCGCAAAGTTGAGTTTTTATTAGCAAATAAATCACATCACAAAAAAAACAGGATTTTTTTATTGTTTTAAATTTTAATAATGCTATTTGGCGTCTCAGCCATTATGCAGCCAAGTATACGGCCAGTGCAGATGCGCTGCTTGAGTACCACTAGTCGTTCCGACAGAAACCTTCCAGCGGTAAAAGACCATTTGCTGAATACCCCAAGCGCCCCGGCCTGCAGTCGAGGAATCACGGGAACGGTGTTCCTTCGATTCCCTAGTGATCGGCAATTTCAACCGATTTGATGCTTACACACATTTGAGTGTAGTCCGGAGTCATCCTGAATAAGCGTCGTATAGAGTCCAAAGACCTAACATATCACTTAAAATTTCTTGTTGATGTCAGCGTTTTTCATACTGTGCATGCCATCTACCCTTCAACATCGCTAAGCTGCAAAAATTGTGTTTAGAAACGCTAAAATTGCTATAAACAACCCCGCTGACTCCGAGCTAAATCCTGGTTTTAATGGTTGTGGATTTTCGGCTTTTTAAGCAATTCCTTCTAAAATAACAATCACGGAAATGTTAATATTTTAAAAGAATTATGCAGCTCAGGCCAGGCTGAAAAGTGGATTGCACGCACAGTATCAAAAACGCTGACACTGGCGAGAAATTTTAATAGAATGGACATCTGGGCAAGTTGGTATGAGCAACGTTACTGGAGCAAGCTCAGCTTCGCAGCTCCCTATTCTCGGCTGCGGAGGCGAGTGGCCTAGAGTCACTAAATAAAGCTACGCTTTCAGAGTACCGAAGCTCCCAAATTACGCGTCTGAAGCGCGTCAGGCGCCGCCATCTTGGGTCCGGGAGGCTGAGCCAAGCCGAGCTGTAGCCGTCGCCTGTGCCAGCTGCCGTAGCCGCAGCTGTGGCAGCGAATCAAGGTCGTGTTGTTCGTATCTCGACATAAGAAGGAAAAAGTGCGTGCTGAGCGACAGACTTCAGCGTGCGCGCGCAGTAAACACTAAAACAGCAGCAGGCAGCGGATCGCTGGACCTAAGATGGTGGCGTTGAAAAAACGAGATGTTGATGATAGCGACTTACATGACTGCCGCTATTCACTGATACCGCAGCGAATCAGAATATTGTTGAATAGAGCGACTGCAGTGTCGGCAAAGTGCCAAAGAAAAGGAATGCGGTACTCTGAAAGCGTAGCTTATTTAGTGACTCTAGAGTGGCCCAGGTTTTTATTCAACACAGTAGAAAATACAGACGAAATTTCTCACTATTTTGCAGACAAGAATCAAATAAATAAACAACAAAACAGGATGAAACGTTAAGGTTACGTGCGTCGAAGGTGGTGATATGCGTCCTTGCAAAAACACTTCGCTAAATTTACATAAAATCTCTAGGTTCGTGATCCTTTTCGAGCTTCTTGGCGTATACTCACAAGCCTTACGCCGTCCAGCCACAGGCGTGGAGCCTAGAAAAAAAAAAGTTGAACTGCTTGATTGGCCATTACGTGCCTGATATGGTCATATGAAAACAGCGAGCTTTTTCTGCGCCTCCTTTCAAAAAACGGTACATGGACTTCAACACTGCGACACAAAAAACTCGTGTCTCCTCTATTTTTCTTCTCCTTGACTTAAATGCCTCCACGCAAAATTGACAATCATTTCGAATTTGATTATATAAGTAAGCATATAAGTAAAGACCGACGACGGTGTCTTGCAACTAAAGGAAACTAAGCAATGAGGTCAAGAAAAACAGCTCAGCTCTATGGTATTGAGTCTTCATCGAGAACCTGGATTCGTTTTTAGTATTATCACTTAAATTTAGGAGTGCGTCACTCCTAAACGAAACGGGAAACCAGAGCGGATTGCTCCATCGCTCATCCTCAATCGAAAAATATTTAGGCTCATTTTCACTCCTCGCGAACAGACGCGTGAATCGCTGGAAGCAATGCCAAATAAACAGCTCACAGCAAAATGTTTCTCATCTATTAAAGTGAGCATATGTGCTCGATCTTGATATGACACAGAAGTCCCCAGTAATTTGACATTGACATATATTTCTCGCGGCGAGTGAAGAGCAATCCTGAACAATGATAGGATTTGGTTTTGTGATTGGAAACCATCGTAGCTATTGCCAAAATCAAACAATTAATACTCACTACCACTGCGAAAATTAGGTTCTGTTGCAAACATCTAATCAGAAAGTTAAGCAAAAGAAGACCAAAAGAGCGTACCGCACGTCCATTGGAGCTCGAAACCATTGATGTCCCGGCTTTCGGCAGTCATTGTTTCCCCACTTGGCACATCAGGTGGTGTGGTGATGACGAAAATCTATGCTTGACCACATTACAAAAACAACGAGTTCCCACGAAAAAGAAAAGAAAGCCGCGCGCGCACGAACGCGGCACGAACCTCGCGCCGCGACGCACTCCCAGAAGCAAAACAGCTCGCGGGCTCGCGTCCCTCGCGCTTTCTAACGGTTCTAACGGTCCACCGACTTCCCGGCGCCAGCGGCCAGCGCATGTCGAGGCGCGAGGCGCGGGTTCGAAGAGAGAGAAAGCGCGCCCAGACACGTTGAAAGAGTGAAAGAGAAAGTTACGATAACAAGCTTCAAAGCCATTCACACCTTCAAAACAACTTCACTTTTATTTCGCTTCATTAAATATATGAATCATATTTATTTAAAATAAAATAACAAGTGCCAACACCCGCTGGGAGCGCGGCAATCGGAAGCAGTTCACTGGACCGGACGAACGTCATAAGTATACGCGGCGGGACGGAAGTAGCCGAGAGCTTCACCCCACTGGTGTAACCATCAAATTGGTCGAAATTACCGATCACTAGGCAGCTGAAGGAACACAGTTCCCATGATTCCTAGAGTGCAGGCCTATGCGCTTAGGAATTTAGCAAGTGACTCCAACATAGCCCTAGCTAAACTTTTTTTTTCTAATTGAAAACAATATAATGCAACATGTTTTTGCGGTATTTTAATTACCTGTTTTTAGGGGTTCATCGAAAATAGCTAGAAAAATCGAGGATAGTTTTTTTTAACTGGCAAAAAAACATTTTAAAATTTTTACATTTTTATATATAGAAATCTTCCGGGCGCAATGCGAGTATCACTTACTATAGTTAATCGCTCACATTTTTGTAAGAAGTGAACAGAGCATGAAGTGCTTTGTTCACTTCTTACGGCGGCGGCTGCTTAATGACGTATTATAGCTGCGCTCTAATACGTCATTAAGCACGCGCTGCTCACGCTCAAGTGCGAGAACGTGATGTTACCGCCGGAGCCGCGTGTGCAAAAGGTGCGCTTCGGTCCTCATCTCTGCTCGTTGTGCGCTTCGTGCGATAAACTGTGAGGCGACCCCGTCTACATCTACGGCCCCGACATCGACACCCGCGGCGGCTTCCACAGGCGAACGTGGCCGCTCACGCAAACACGCCACAGGCTCCTTAAAAAAAAGCTACGGAGCTTCTTGAAAAAAAAAGAAAAAAGAGTTAGAAGTGAATTTTAGTGTATATTTACGCCGTGAACCCGAATAACCAAACCATCTGCTGCGCAGGTATTCTTAAATGCGAGAAAACGCGAAAGACACTCGCTGTACGTGACGTCATCGGCGGATCTTTTGGCTGCCCAAGGCTAGGGAGGCGGGGCTTTAGCCCTATTTTGAAATTGCTCTTATGACTCTCTTGCGCGTCGCATTGAAATATAATTTTGATATCTGTTATTCTAAAGGCCAAGTGAACGCAATTCAAGTGTTTTTTCTGAACTGCAGAAGTGCCCCATTTTCCCTTTAAAGGGATGGTGAACCGAAATTTGGATTTCAGAGAACAATGCAGGAGCGGTAGGCGGGACGTTACAAACTCCACAACACCACTTGCAAGGCGATATCTCGAACGGACGGCCGTCCTTGGAGGTCGTCCGAGACGCCGTCCTTGACGTTGTCCTCAACTTCGTCCTAGAGGCCATCCGAGACGCCGTACTTGGCATCGATCTCTAGGACGTTGTCCTCGAGGTTTTCCTCAACGTCGTCCTTGAACTTTAATAGGTGTACAAAACATTACTCGAAAACATTCCTCCCGCGGGGCTATAATGCTTTCGCCCATCTTCAATGCTTGGTTTTCTTTCCAGTCTCCTGTACGGCGGGCTCCGCTTTGCTCAAGGTCTGTGACTGTGACAGGTAGCCTGACCTTCCGCCATTGAGGCGGCAGACCTGACAGTGCTCGAATAGACGTCGCTGACTATCTTTTTTTACCTATGTGTGTCTTATTCGAACCTTCTCCTTTCCCTTCCCTCGCTCTTTTTTTTTTCTTGCAGAAACGGGGATTGACAGGCCCCCATTAGAAGGAGTGGCCACAATGTTCCGGTTTTCCTCCTGTTTTTTTTTTCCCTTGGATTTTAGATATATTTCAACGCTCACATACATACATAACTTCTTTCACGAAGGCAGTCCTGAGTGTCCTCCTCTGATTTTTTCTTATTGGTGCTGAAAGGTACAAGGATTCCGTTTTCGCTGTGTGATTACGGGCTTCGACGGACGTTAGTTGTAAATTAATTTGTAAAATATTGATGTAAGGAATCGTAGTGCACTTCCAGGCCAAAAGGCAATGTGGTTAGAGGCTAAACCAATTTAAACAATGCTCGTAAAAAAAAAAAAAAAAAATTCATTTCAAGGTCTCCAGAACTAACTATGATAGACAGATGCTATGATCTAGGTTATAGTTTGTTCCGACTTAATACAAAAAAATATTGTGTGAAACTAATAAAAAAATCTCTCTTCATTGTTTGTTAGAAAGTATCCACTTTTTGTTGTAAATGACGAAAACCTGAACTATTTTATTGTTTCGTTTTTCTTGACAGTTATATATTACTCTTTTTGTATTGGTGCTATTGTTTTGAATACTGTGTGCATTCAAGTTGTTTCCCGCTGCTGTGGGACAAGGTGTCAGAAGCTTCTCAAGCAACACCCAAGTTGTTTTTAGAGCGCAGTTCTGAGGCGCCCGTTTCCGGCTTGAGCGCGGCGTCGGCGTCGCCGTCGGCGTAACCGCGCGGTGCATTATGGGTGAGTTTCCTCGCTAAATTTAGCGGAAAAATTTCCCCGCTAAATCTAGCGGAAAAATTTCCCCACTAAATCTAGCGGAAAAATTTTACGCTAAACCTAGCGGGAACATTTCCCGGCTAAATCTAGCAGGAAAAATTTCCCCGCTAAACCTAGCGGGAAAATTTCACCACTAAATCTAGCGGAAATATTTCCCCTCTAAATCTAACGGAAAAATTTCTCTGGGGGTTACGTGACACCCCACAGGTCACGCGACCACGTGGGGGTCACGTGATCCCCTGATGTCACGTGAGTCCACCAAGGTCACGTGACCTCGGAGCGGGGGGGTCACGTGACCCCTCCCCCAGGTCTTGTGACCCCCCCAGAACACGTGACCCTCAGTACCCTTCCCTCCTCCTCCTCAAGAGCTGCGCTCGAATTCGGCGTTACAGGGAGTTGTAAACGGCTTTCATTTCTTTTCTCTGCTTCCCTTCTCAGACTGTAAAAAAAAAATCGAAATTAAAACAAAATAAGGGGTTCTGCGAATAGGGGCTAGATTGAATAGCTATATGCTTCATCCATAAATCTTAAAATGCAAGAGAAAGGCATGACCAGTTGTTCTGCTATCAATGCTGAAGCTAGGGATAAAACTTTTTTAACCTGGTGCAATTCGCTGCAGCGGTGAAACGCACGTGCGAAATTTCGTGGTACTGTTCATATTGTCATTCAACAAAAGCGATCTCTCGCATTTGCGAAGCACGTGGTTTGAAGACGGATGTCAATTTTTAAGTTGTTTTTTTTTCTTTGGGGGGGGGGGGGGGGGGGGAGGGGAGGGATCTGTGAAATCTCCACAGCCTTGCACGTGCGTGTGCGTCGCTTTGCAAACCGAGCAAATCACGCGTCACTGCGCCCTGGCTACTGCACGTGATGCACGTGCTTTTTGTTAATGGAAGTCCGCGATGATGGTGGGTCAGGCCATGCAGAGCCTTTTATACTGGGAGAGTTCGGCGGGTGGGAGGGGCTTACGGCCCGCTAGGTCTAGCGGACTCAGCGGGCGCCGCTTCCGCCATGATGTGCCTCCCGGCGCTTGGGTCCCCCCCATTGACATGCGAGGTATACGCGTGTAGGTTTTGCCGTTTGTGCTGTTGTTGGCGTAAGGAGAAAGTCGAAAAATCAAGCATTTTGTTACGTTAATCATACGTTAATCATATACTTACCTCGCACAATCGAGAACTCGGCTTCCAGTCAGCCCTTCTTGGTTTCCCAGATCTTGTGCCTTGCGCGGTTTTCTTTTCCTTGCGGGAACCGGTACATCCTGAACCCCGTTTTCGCGTTGTTCGAGCACCCAACGGCACTGCAGTCCCCCATTTCTTTTTCATCTAACGTCTGGCAGAGCGCAGCGCAGAACGATCATTTTCATCGTCGTCTCTCGCTCCATGGATTCTAGCGAGCCGACTGCCGGCTCGAGTCAGTAGGGCAAACGGGTTTTATCAGCCGCCACCAGCCTTACACCAAACAAGGGTGAAGCTGGCAATTTAAGGTTATAATTATATTGCAATTAAATGCAAAGGTGCAATCAAGCTAGACGGCAAGGCACATCATGGCGGATGCGCACAGTTGCCAGACTGTTTGATCAGTGCTGCCAGACTGGCGGCTGGATCAAAGAACCGCCGAACTCTTCTAGTATAAAAGGCTCTGAGGCCATGCTGGCAAAAACAGACGTACATAATCGGAGCGGTAAGTCGCATACATGTAATCGATGTTCAAGTTACTCTTTACCGGAAGGTGTCTCGAAATTTGTTTCCCTGCAGACGCTCTTTAATGTTGCACAGGGACCCAGGGTTATTGCGGAGATATACAGGACGGTGCCTGTAGCACGTTCGAAAGACTCCGCGCACTCCTGGAGGCGAAGCTTATTAAACAGTATATCGTGAGAGAGCCCGTCCTGTCGCAGGCGCGGCTTGCCATCACTCTGAGGAAAATTGAGCCGTTCCTCAAACAGTGCCCATTTGAGTAAATATAAAGCGAAAGGACCTCGGCTTTCTTAGCGCACTCAATATTAGTCTTTCAGCCAGTAGTCATATTTACTTGTCCCCGCTAAAGTGGCAGTTGTGGCGCTTCTGGCAGCGCGTGGCGGCACACACCAAATGAATATAACTATCTCGCTTGTTTACACTAAAGAGGACTGCAGTGTCAGTTTGCCTTAGTGTAAAGTTTGTTTTGTTTGAGCAAAGCGGGTGTCCCCCAAAATCTTTGGAATCAGCATTTTTAACACTATAAGTAGCAAGCATTTTTTTTTGTATCTTGTGATGTATGTCTCATCTGGGATGTAAATACAGGACTTACCTTTACAATTCAAGGCGGGCGTCTCAGCAGTGATGTGCATCGCGAATGAGACCTTCCAGCACCTATGGAAAGTGCTTAGACAGATGTGCATGAAAGCAAACTGAATTTCTAGATACTTTTT